TTTTTAATGCAGTAATAAACATATATCTATTCTTGAATCAAATATTTAGTTTTGTTAAGGACACAATTCCGAGGCTAGCGAATCAACCCTTTTTTTGAATTATGACATTAGTACATAGTTTGGGTTTGGGATCGGACTTCTACTTCATTTGGGATAATAATCAAACCCCAAATATATGACCCTTTTTTTTGTTAAACTCAAAAAATCAAATTTTTTATATCAAAGCTATAAATTACTAAAACTTCATTATTTTCATTTTAAAATTAAGAAAATTAATTGATTTAACGACTAGATGGGATATGTTGAATAAAAATGATATGTCAGGTCTAATAGTTATATCGAATATATGAAAATTAATTAAAAAATGGAAGCTTATCACGTTCAAATAAAACTCTGAATCATAAATAATAAACTTTTCGACAATGTTTTCTTTCGAAATTTGAGTAGAAATTCCTAATAATTTTTAGAAAAGTAAACCTTTAATAGAATCGGTAGTTCATCCTTCTTTCAATTCACATCATTAATCATTAAGCGCCGCCTTATCGAATACGGGCGGCGCTATGTCATTCAATCCAATACTACACCGAATTTCGCTAACAAGAGATCTCCGTTAAAGATACGAAGCCCTTGCAAGCGAAAATGTATTAGATTATACGGCAAATTAAAGACATTTTACGAAACCTAGTAAATACTATTTGGGCTTTAACCTAATCCAACTCTAGCTCAGGTATTGGTATTAAATGCTTAGAACTTTCTTGGTGATCCTTGATTATAAATATGATCATTAACAAATATCTTTAATAATTTATGAAATCAGAAAGTTTTAAATTTATGAGCTAATTGAGATTGTTTACACTTTATAGGTAAAAGATTATATTCATTCGTATATATATTAAATATTAATATGTATGCATCGATTGCTATAAATGTACGTATATAAAATTGGGGTTTTTGACATATGCAATGATCTACCTTTAGTTTGGTTCCGGCAGGCTGAACAAAATTCTTAATTATATTTGTGAGTACTTGTAGGTTTATCGTCTTCTAGTTCTGCCAAAACCTTGAGAATTAGTCATATTAGAAGATCTACTAGATGAAGATCTACTAGATGAAGGTGATGTGAAAATAGTAGTTCTAGATCTGATAAGTTGAGTAAAGTATTTCTTAAGTATAAATTAAAACGTGTGACTATTAGATAAAATATAGTAACTACTGGTTACCTGGGTCGTTGTGATTCACTATTCCTACCCAGGAAATACCCTCCAAGTGCACCCAACCCTAATCCTGTCCAAAAATTTTGATGCGTATTTCCTGATTGTGATGAATATTGATCAAACGAGTCTTAACCAATATAAAATAATTGCGGTAGGTTAAATTTAATTTATACGGTAGAAACTAATAACATATGAATATTGAAAATGTACCATATCTGGGGTAAAATCCGCCGCCGCCACCTCCCGGCCAAAAATTTTGATATTGATTATTATTTGGTCTATTTAAAATACAAATTTTTTTAAAAACAGAACAAACTATTGATTCCACTACAGATTCAAAATAAAACAACGAGCGCTCTAAAAAAAATATACCTGAAACTTCTTCGTCTCGTAAGTGATAAGTAAATCTTATATAAAATAAATATCACCAAACATATCCAGGCAAGTTTAAAGATCGTTGAAAATAACCTGGGCCCTGATAAATGACGAAAAAAAATTACAGGTATTAAGTCAAACTATATGCTTCAATAACCCAACTCCTCTATTCTATGGGTGCCATTCAAATATTAAAATATCATAAACTATACTTTTAGGATTGAACTTGTAATATCTGTTATCGTACAAATCATCTTCGAACCATTGATAGCTTCGATCGTTTCTCCAATTGTCTTTATAATAAAGCGTGTACTCAAGCCCACACGACCCTAAAGTATTTGAGTTAGTATAATAATCCTTAAGAATAAATAACAATGGTTTCGGTAACATACCTTGTAGAATGTATGGATCATCAGGATAACTATAGCCTATATAAAAAATCAAGGGATCAAAATTTTTAGTTAATAAAGACCTTAAAATTCGTTCGACATATTCATTCAAACGGATAACCAACTTGTCCAAAATTGCCATTGTCTGGACTAGAGATGGGCAATTGCACATATGTGCATACTAAAATGAAAACTTTATATTTTGTCCATTTCTAGTCTTGACATTCATGAACTACTTTGAATTGAACGAATATCTAGGATATCTATCGAATTATACTTGTTCAAAAATTTTCTTATACAATATCAGATAATATTTAATTCATGCTTATTTCTTACATACCCTCACAACTGACTGTCAACTATGTATATTTTTTAAATAAGTAATATTTGCATAAAAAAT